ACGACTATCGGTTTTTACGACCAAATATGAGTAGTCCCATCGATGTCGTTATAACAGATTTTGACTGTAATATGTATTATGACATGAAAAGAGACGCAATATGCAAATGGGTCCAGTAGAAACTGAGCTGTTTATTTCTGTAGACCATTCATAATGCAAGACTTGAAATGTGTTTTTAGCCAAATGTCTCTCGGGCAAATCCTCGCAACTATTACTACGTGGTGCCAAAGAAATTGTAAGTGTGAATGAATAGTTTCAGCCAAACTGTCAGTGATTCTATGATAAATGTATGGGCTATTCAAAAATGAATATAATACGTGAAACAAATATATAAAATTAATTTTATTCTTAAGTTTATATAAATTACACTAAATAAATTCTATGGTCGAATCATTAATATTATACAATAGGCAATCAGCCCTCTGTGTCTACATGTATAGATCATATACATAATAGTAACCAACTAAGTTTAAGGAGGTGAATGACGAGTTTTAAAATAACAACGAACTGCATGTACTAGCTTTAAAATCGCCACATTTCAATAAAATAGAAGGCCGAACTCATAACAATAACTGAATTTAGTACGCTGAAGGAATACATCAAAGCTGTTTTGTTTTTAAATCGTATAATGTAATAAATATGTGAAATGAAAACATTGTAAGTAACAATTGAGAAATGCTGAAAAAACATGAGTGTATCCGTGGGAATGCTAAACAATACAGTCGTGCAGTGACTTCGGATTTGACCTTTAAATTGATTCAATACTTTCTTGTACAACGGTTGTTTTTATATTTCTGTTCCACACACATTTGCCTAAATATATCCTATAGCAACTGTGACATGGCCAATAATGTAAGTTATATGGCCATTATAAAATCTGCACTAATGTTGAATGTAGTGTAATATGGCCATTATTAAATCTGCACTAATGTTGAATGTAGTCTAATATGGCCATTATAAAATCTGCACTAATGTTGAATGTAGTGTAATATGGCCATTATTAAATCTGGACTAATGTTGAATGTAGTCTAATATGGCCATTATAAAATCTGCACTAATGTTGAATGTAGTGTAATATGGCCATTATTAAATCTGCACTAATGTTGAATGTAATCTAATATGGCCATTATAAAATCTGCACTAATGTTGAATGTAGTGTAATATGGCCATTATTAAATCTGGACTAATGTTGAATGTAGTCTAATATGGCCATTATAAAATCTGCACTAATGTTGAATGTAGTAGTGTAATATGGCCATTATTAAATCTGGACTAATGTTGAATGTAGTCTAATATGGCCATTATAAAATCTGCACTAATGTTCGGACGTTAAGGTTCGGACAGTCTTAGAATACAAAATCGTTGGATTCCCGGCAACAATTTGCCTTTCTATGTGCGCAAGCGATATTAGGCAGTCTTACGGTAGATAACACTACTTTTCAAATTCCTCTTTTAGTGCTTCTCTATTACTGGAAGTTGGCTATCAGTCTCATGAAGCGTTGTCCTGTGCCAAATGCAGAAACTCATCTGCAGTAGAAATACCCGTCCACACGTTGCGAGTTTTTGTATAACTTTTTGATTTCCAAAATAAAACTAATTTAATTTTGTCATATTTTAATTTTTTTTTTTTGAATAAAATATCGCTTGCAAACGCTATTCTAGATTATAAAAAGCGTATCAATCTGATAAACTGTATATTCATTTTAATGTGTGTTCGCGTAATATAAACCTCTTTACATACAAATAATATGTCAATACAAAACGTCATCCAAAGCAAATAGAAAACTGGTATATGAATATTTTTATTATACTTGGGAAACCATTTCGAAAGAAATAAAAATCGAAATCAAATATAAAAGCTATATTGGAGGTATACCAGTGGAACTCAGCGGAAAGACTTCAAAATTAATATCAACGTTTTTAAACCTTCAAGGTCTTCACAGATACACAAAATATTAGACTTAACAGTGAATATTACCGACATTCAACTTAAATATTGGACTCAGCTGACACTGCTACTTTGTCCATGACCTATCATTATGGTTACTGCCAATTACTGGCAAACATATAATTTCGATTGAATACGTTTTGTATGCCATTGTCAGCAATGGGCATAATATGTAATACGACATCATTATAGTTTGTTTAATTATAACTTCTAAATTTAAATAAAGAATTCAAACGACATTTAAACAATTATTCTATTCAAAACACTTGTTATAATAATATTAATGCAATGTAAAGTGACTTAATCTGTCCCGATATATTAAACTCTATGGCTATAATCATTGCTTTTTAAATATTCCTTATATTGATTACCACAATCCATTACATTTTTTTAGATTTAGGGACCCTTTTGAGTTAAATATACCTGTGTCTCTTCCATAACCATTATATACTATTGCCTGGAAAATTAAAAAAAATATATTATTACAATACATATGTAGTAAAATCTTATAAATATTACTAGTATACGTATATTGCATTTAGTTAAATGTGTCATACAGATTGTGCATTGAACATTATTTTGAATGGGCACTCCTACATTAAACCATTTGTATAAATAGCTTTACTCTGTCAGTGATATGTGAATTCTATTCATAACTTCATATTTAATTGGATAATATGTTAAGTGTAGAATTTATCCCCAAATTCACTAAATTCGTCTTTTTGATAAAGTATTCAATTGTCTCATTCTTACAAATTCTCTTTTCACTATGACGGAAAGAGACAAATCAGTGCGATTTGTTGTATAGTTAAGTGTGTATTAATTGTGACTTAACGTAAAAATGAGAGGACGCCCACCAGCTACCTGGGAAGAGGAAGTAAAAGTGACAGCCGGGTAAGATAGGAAAATAGTAGCAAACATGAGAAACAAATGCATGATGAAACCTTTCCTCCATCGCAGGTCGTGTACTAATATTAAATTGCAATAATAACATAATGTAATCCTTATTATAGAACTTGAATATTTTTATTTTATTAGTTGTGACAACACAATCGCACATCATTCATAAAATATGTAACATAAATTTCTATTAACATCATGTTAATATCTGCAGGCAGAAGCGTTTTACTATAATTTACTTCATTAAATAGCAACCTCAAGTCGATTATAGAGAAAAAATAGTGAAACTTCATTTCTCGAGATTCAAATCTTCGATGCTTAGCGAGGCAGTTGGTATAAAACACATTCCGTTGAAATCGCATATAAATCCACATTTCGATGTTATTTTAGGACAAACAGGCGGTCGGTGGAATAGTGCGGATACATATGTATGGCACTCACACTACTACGCCTCTAAATTCATAGATTAACATTTATAGGGACACGAGACAAACATAGGTTAATGGCGGCTGAATTTTAGGGTTTTGAATGGAGCATAAATATTACAAATCAAATCCAAATCATTTATTAATTTAGGTAGCACAATATACACATATGAACGTCAAAAAGAAATACATATTAAATGCTTCTAATTTAACATTTACTGAAAATTCCCAAAAGAATGACGTAGAACGGAGAAGAACTGGCAGTAAACTCTCCGCCACTGTTAATCGCAAAGATTTTTGTTTGTAGTTGGAGACACAATGTTTGTAAGGAGCTGCTACCATGACACCATATTCCACATGACATCTTGAGTAATTAATAATATTAAAATAAATTAAAAACAAAGATTTGTCCTCTATCAGCAGGAGGCATGGTGAAATAGGAGCACGCATATTTGCTAGGGTTACATTAAAAGTTAAAGTTGATTTAAAAATAAGTGTAATACCGTTTCTCTATGTACAAGCCATTAAGCGAATACTGGGAAACGAGTAGCTGTAAATAGTGTTTAGCGTAGAGCATAGAGCAATCACCATTGTCATGAAAATGTTAACTACCGCTGAGAAAACGTGGGCGCAAAGCCAACTAGTGCGACGTTTCAAAACAGTTTCGCGTTCAGCGTCCATTTTGTTCTACAAAAACAAGATATTTTATTGACGTTTCAAAATAAGATCATTCTCCAGTAAAGGATCTTAGAAACGATATTTTTTCTTCAAGATGGCCCTATGACATGAATAGTTTTATGTTTTATATAGCATTAACTTATTACGATACCAAATGAGGCATTGTTGGAGATGGACCGCGACAAACTTAGCCTAACCTAACATTACACTTCCGTGTCTCGTATTTCTTGTCTGTTGTTTTAAAATCCTATACACAGAGCTTTGTTCTTTTGTGAAGTTAACATGACTATATGATTTTATACTAAATAATTTAACGAAATTCATTTGAAGCGAATCGTTCACTGATTTTTTTTTAATTAAATTTAATTTTTCCGTTCACCAAAGGGTTTAGGGATTAAAAAACTGTATTTCGGTACGACGAGCAAGATGACTCGATTAACAACATAAAGATAGTATTTGAAAAATTAACGATTCATCAAAACAGCTACCACCAACTACAATATAATCTAAGCCGTATAAAATATATGCTAGACAGAGAAAAATATCCTTGAAAATGTCTGTTAGAGAGGTTATAAACGAAATTCTTGTTACATTTGTCGACTGAAAAATAATGTATCAACACCGCCCTAATTTCATTTCAACCACCATTAAGCATCTTCTACGTTTCCCGAATTTTACTTCTGCACATTCATTTTAAAAGCAAGCTCGTTTTTAAACGGATGCTGGCAAGATGCCATCTAGTTCATCCTATGAATTTAGTGATGGCTTCACGGTTCATACGTCCAGGACTGATGCATTAAAATCAAAATGCTCCATAATCAAGCGTCCAGGAAACACGCTTTGTATGTAATGAAAACTGGCAATTACTCCAGTAGTTAATAGCATTAAATGTAGCTCATGCTACTGCGCACGTGGGATCATTTCCTGATCTCGAACGATATAATGAGCGCATGATTTAAATTGATAGACCTTAATGAACTGTTTCTACTGACTCGCAAAAGGTTTGAATTCATTTTTCAACATTCTAATTTATTTATTATTTTTTCCAGTTCAACTTCGTGGGCAGGATTCTCGGCCCCAGAGGTATGACTGCCAAACAGTTGGAGCAGGAGACTGGCTGCAAAATCATGGTCAGAGGAAAAGGTTCCATGAGGGATAAGAAGAAGGTAATTATCAATGTCGACTTTCCTCATTAGGTTTGCTAATTCTATAATTAGTATGCTCATGAGAAACATCGCTGGCGGCTCATGTTGAATTTTAAATTCTGTTTTTACAAGATGTATGCACTCATTTACATACAAACGAGGAAGTGGTGAATTGTGATTAGATATAAATTCTTGTTTTATTAGTATAATGTTATTAATATCCAGTATCTAAGAGTGTTAATGTACGGTTTACAACGTACAGGTAATTCAATGTTAACGACACCATGCAATACGATTTGCTACTGCATTTATTTTCATTATATTTTATTTTGTTCACTTAAGTTCGCATTCAGACGTCTTACCGGGCGCGACTCTTATCCCAATCTCATCTCACCCCACTAGTTCAGTCCATTGCAGTTTAAATAACTATCTCTTTAAATATCTTTATAATTTATCCCAACCCGAACAGTTAACATTTCTTAATATGTAGCAATTCCTTAAGAGTCGAATTGAACTTCCTTCACAAGCATTACCGTAAGTCATGAGAAAGTTGATACAGATACATTATGTACTTGTTAGTATTATTATTTATTTATTATTGCTTAATATGTATTAACTAATGCGTTTTATTTACATGCATGCGTAAAATTAAACCGCTATGCGAATAGTAGAAACTCCGGACTAAGGTATTCTTGGCACCAAAATTGGTTTTTCGCAACCAATAATTTCTTAGTGCTATATAAATTAAAATGAAGTTAACGTTGTGCAGTGTGCCATGATTTATTTGTTGGGTACATTCCAGGAGGATGCGAACAGGGGCAAGCCGAATTGGGAGCATCTAGCGGATGATCTTCACGTGTTGCTCACAGTGGAGGACACTGAAAATCGGGCGAAGGTAAAGCTCGCCAGGGCCGTCGAGGAGGTGAAACGCCTGCTCATCCCTGTAAGTTATCAACTTAGCTATCTACTAATCTTTCGCGTTGCGAATTTTGCTTCAAAATTAAAGAAATTTACTAATACAAACCTAAAAAGTTTCCGATACTTCATCAATGGAATCTCGATGAAAAGCAGCTAGTTGCCAAAACACATCGAAATCTAGCATTTCAAAACATTAACTTTAAGAATGTCGCGTCTCTACAAAGCATGAAGATAAATGAGGTATACACGAACAACAATTTTAGGTCAAACTAAATCTGTCTTTGATCATGACTTGTAATAATTACATGTCTTAGAAAAGGAAGTCACCAATTTGTAAGTGTTCAATCTTTTAAATTAGAATTTATTTGTGTTTGCGTAGAAGCTTTATTTTGTTAAGAAATATAAATGTTTTGACAATTTTGTCGCTATATTTTTTGTTAATTCAGAATAATATAATCGTTTCACTGATCTGTGTATTTATAAGTGTAGACTTAGAATAAAAGTAACATTTTTTGTTCTATGTATCTGTTACTCATTGGGATCGGTTTTGTAATTAAAGATTGACAAATACTTGTATAATAATTATTATGTTCTCATAAAACTATTTCAAAAACATTCCATTAGTATTTTATCCCTCATATTCTTATGTCATAATTTCCAGCAAGCCGATGGCGAAGATGAATTGAAGAAACGCCAGTTGATGGAACTGGCCATTATAAATGGCACGTACCGCGACTCAAGCGCAAAGGGTGTGGTACCGGTCAACGGTCAGTGCGTATTAAGTATGGACACTTTTATGTTTTGTTGCTAATCTACATTAAGATCTTACTAACATGGGGTTAAATGCCCTTTTGAAATGCGAATCATCGTGTTGCGTCGCTTGATTATGATTGGTAGTATCTGTCGACCAATCAGAACCAAGCGGTCAGGCGTTTCGTATTTCAAAAGTGTCTACTAAACTACAAGGACTACGTTTTGAAAATCCATACAGACTCTTTAAAATCCATTTTTTATGACACCAAAATAATATGTTCTAAATTATCTGGGACATAAATTATGACAAATGAAAAAGTTGCTGCACGAATATTCGTTTCTGAAATTAAGTAATTAAGTTTAGTTTATTCAACACGTGGTCCTAAAATTATCCCATCAAGCTCTAAATATAACTACAAGGGCTAATAAGGGCTGAAAAATTATAATTTCAACGACTGATGCGATACGTCTAGTCTAGTTTTTAAGACGGGGGATTTGCGGGTATAGTCAAAATAATTTTACCATAAATTTGCTATTAAATCTTTTGTTCACTAATGAATCATCTAAGCTGCAACACGACTGACTAATTGATTGGCGCGTTGTTACGGTTGTTAACTAATATCGGTGATTTCATAATGACAAATTGCTGACTTGCCAAGGGTTTTCATGCGCTTTTGTTCAGAGGAATTTATTGCTCCAAATCATTCTTCATGAAGTATGAGTATTTTAGTGGGTAGAGTCTGGACATGTCAAAATTTGCTATTTTTGACATATCTCACGCGGAGATTATTATTCTACTGATAACGAGTAGTTACACCCATGGTACAACAAGTTTGAGTATAAGTTTCGCTGTATAACAAACGAGGACTCCACAGCTGACGAGGAGTGGCGTCGCGTTGCCGCGGAGACTCAGAGGCTCCTCGCCCCGACGGGGGGAGTAGGCAGCGTGGCCCTGCGTACCCAGGCGCCCCTCGGTGCGCCCTTGATCCTCTCCCCGCGCATGACCACTGGGCCGGGAGCTCAAGCTAGCCTGCTTAACGGTACAGGCGCGGGCGCAGCGGCAGGACTCCTCTCACCGGGCGAGCAGGCGCACCAGCTGATCTACGCATCGCCCTACGCTGATTACGCCAACTACGCTGCGCTGACAGCCGCCGCCAATCCGCTCCTGACTGCGGAGTACGCTGCCGACCATAACGGTGGGTTATTCGACCGCTAATCTTAAGGGACGCAGAATACTCGTAAACGTGTCCAAAAATTACGTTTCATGATGAATTTAATTGATTTAGTGTAGTGATATTTTGCGTAACGTTTATTCTGCGACCCACGCGTTACGATATTTGTTGACACTGATATCACGGGGTCAGCAAATATATACTAATACAGGTACTGGGTACGTCGAAGAATATAGTATAAAACTAGGTAGGGAAATTCACGATGAAATGATAGAATAGATTAATAACTGCATGTTTCAATTTGCAGCTTGATTTCGTTGATCGAGTAAGTTAATTTCAATTTTGGAATGACTTGCCCGCCTAACCCTTTATCGCGATGCGCTAACACGTGTGAGTTGTATTTCTAGAAAATGGTAACAGACTAATATGGAGAGCCAAGACCGCCGGATTAACGGACTAATACCAGGCTAAATTATTTGAAGTGTGAATTAAATGTTTTTCGTGGGGTTACAGCGTCGAGGTACCTTCTTGCTGGCTTTTGACATTGGCCGCATTCGCAGACCTCGATAAGATCCGACAGGCTTCAGTCACCGGCCTTCACAACATATTTACCGTCCTTGACAGATCTGTACGCGAATGCCTTTCTAGAGTCATAATATCGATTAATCTAGAATAAGATTTAATTAAGAACAATTTAGTTTTAGTTCCGAAATTTGTACCTTAAACGTTATTTCTTTATCGTCTGTTATGTACAGAGTATAACTTGTTTAAAACAAAGAGTTATTTAATATATAGCAGATTTTAATATTTACACAGAATTAATATATGTTTATTGCAAATGTTTATATGGTTTTATCGAATCGGGCTTTGGCAGTATTGTTAGAGGGCGTAGCGTAACGAAGTGTTTTACTGCCCGTAGATTTATTAGTTACCGATACGTTCACGTAAGTTTTATCGATTACGAACAACTTTAGTATGCCCTTGCTTGTAACAAAACTAATAAATTAACAAATATTCACATTTAGAATTCACACTTGCATGTTTTTTTCCAGTTGTAAATAACATCGAGTTTCTATTAACGGTGAAATCTCTGAATGACGAACTTTCAGCGATTACAAGCAAAAGGGACCAATTGCGATTTGAAACAAATTTAATTCTTAACTTGATTAACAGAACTGATCACTTACACGATACCTACAAAACACGAAGTTAGACGATATTTAGTTTACATTTCTCCCCAATTTTCGATCGTTTCATTTAATAATTTTATTAGTGTAATCGTATTTATACACATACCATAGGTTTAAGTATTTTTAGTCTTCTGAAGATTCATATTTTAGCTTAGGAACGAGTGAGCTTTATAATTTAATTGACGTCATTTAAAACTTCAAATTTCAAACCAGCCATTGTCTGTACCTTATTGAGGGTCGAATACCCAATTTATCTTTTTTTCCAAAGCAATAAAATAGGTTGTATAGGATAGAGCACGTAGGTTAGTTGATAGGATTTCTGCCAAAATATAACTTCGAAATTATACACACTTTAGTAAAAACTATGTAGAAATAAAGTCAGCTCATGAGATTATGTTTTTCACAGCATTTACTAATCACCCAGGACTAAATCCCGAAAAAGTTCATTCCAGACTGAGACTTCCAGCAAATATGTCATATTTGTGGTTGTCAAATCCTGGGTGGTAATAAAAAAAACATTGGTTGATGAAAATGCTCTGTTCAGACACAGATGATAAATATCCTGTGCCGCTAGGTGTCGTGCGGAGGGCGGGACGTCTAGCGCAAGTGAGGGAGCACCCTTACCAGCGCACTGCCTTACCCGCGCCTTAAATTTCCCGCCAAAACTTCTCACGCCGCCATTTTGTTGAAAAGGTGAGAAGCGCGCACGGAACGCATGCTTACTATGAATATGCTTGTTAAATCTATTAAATTAAAGAAAATAAGCTACGTTTGATCACTTAAACACGATTATGAATTAAAAGATTTACTATTGTCTGTCTTTCATAATCCAAATTTCGTCTAATTAGCTTTGTTCTTTTATTTAATATTGACGCTTTGTAGGATTGTCTAGCAATCATGTTCGTTAGTAAGAATGCGTAAGCGCCTTTGCTTATGGTATCTCTGTGTCTTATTTATTATGTACTTATTTTTAATTATAATTAGTTCGTATAGGTATTATGCCCCTCACTACTTCACACTGGATCTGAAGTGAATCTGCATAATTTTAAACTGTGATTTTTATATTTCATTTTATAGATTTTTTTTATTACGTGTTGCGATATCAGGAACAACCGAGACCCGGTAAACGTTACCAAATGTTGTTTGATGTCACAACATGTCTAACAGCTATTGTTATATCCGGGTATTTAGAAATTTAAGTGTGGGAAGAAGGAATCGGTGTTATATTATTGATTCACTCAATTTCCTGCCAAATAGTTCTCGAGGTGCTAGTTCGGGTTGTGACTCCTTCTTTCCCGATTACACCAGTATTAGTCAAAGGAAAGAGCATTTATATGTGTGCCATCTATCCAGTATTAGACAATGCACCTCCTTTGACTCGATATAAACATCACAAGTTTTCTTAGTCAATTAAAAGTTTTTTTATAGTTGTTTCTATTTGCCTTAGATTATTACTTTCGTATTTGAAAGGTCTAGTTTAAGTTTATATTATGCACTTGTGTCCTTGTGGATTATAAAGGCGTATTTAGATTTATTTTTCACGCTTTATTATAAAATCGAATCGCTAAATAGATTTATGGAGATTTATATTGTAAAATGTTTCAATTGTTGAATGTTAATAGCAAATGCATTTTGATTGATATATTCAATAAACTGTCTGAAATTTTCGTTGAGTTTTCTTTTTAGCTTGACCGCGATATTGACATCTATTATAAAAGTCGATAAAGTTGATGACGTTGTCTATGGTATAGGCTTACACTAACCGCTCCACAAGGCCAAGTCCCGTTTGTCTACGATATGCACTGTCATAACTGCTGAGTCACAAAGATATGTAATTATTATATGAGTCACTAACATGCAAATATGTAAATCTTATCACAAACTTATTAACAACTTGAATGCTATCATATATACGATATTTTGAACGATGTGTTGAATAACTTACATACTTGCATCGGGTGCTATGGTTATATTAGAATATATTATTATGCTTGTTGCGCAGTGTTTGACACGAAATGTCTCAAGCACTGCAATGGGGACTATTGGGCATTTAATCCTATATTGTAGTTCATCATACTAAATTATTATTTAACATCAACCATTAACCGCGTCAACTAATTAAATAGGTACCTGTTTTATTAACTAGAATGTTGCGGCACGAATGCCTGATAGCCTCCCGCTGTTAAGTTATTTATATTAAATTCCGTACACCTACGTCGATCCGAGGTCTCGGTTTACCGCTTTTGTTAGCATGCCCCGGTTTTATAAATCATCGACTGTCTTTTGTTTATGACATCTGCCCTCAGTTTAGCTCTACATATAATCAATGTTGTTTGGTAAGTACATACGCGTTTGATAATATCGAGAGTATGACTGGGATATGAAAGAAACAAAGTACTGTCGAGCCGGGACTTGCAGTGCACAGGCGTTAGACCCGCTCGCGATTGAGGCTACGTGTAGTCGGACCATGGCATTTCAATCGATACTAACATTCTGTTTTCTCTCTTCTTGTTAACCCGGCTAGGTGCGTGCTAAGGCGCCGAGGCACTAACAGAAGAAGACCCGGCGCGTCGTAACATTATCATCGGAACATCGTCCACCATTAGCTATGTTGGGCCTTTCACGTTAACATATGTATTTTTAGCCTAACTATTAACATATGCCTGTTATGTTTATAACATAATGATATTAACAATATATATTTATTGTGGCACACGCCATCGACTATATTCACTATTGTAATGTATTTTGTTGTCGCTTGATCTTAATGTTTAGCACGAGTAGGCTAGGATTCCCTTCCTGTTAGCGCTAAAGTTTTATTTACTACGATTATTGCATTAAATATTTACGCTCTAAAACATAGTGAAAATTAAGTTGTAAAACTTTCACAAGATTTTTTCTACGTTTTTTATATTTTATTTCATATTATGCTTTCAATGTTTTTAATGAAAACATCTGATCTATGTGGTAGTCTAATTTAGTACAAAGTAAATATTAAAAATGGATTTTCGAATCTGGAAGGTCAAGATGGCGGAAGTGGTAGTAAGTATTCTGGTTGACATCCGGTTATCAAGATTCGACTGTTGACTTTCGATTATTCGTGTACGATTCGACTTCAATTTTGGCAAAATAACTTTATAACCAAAGACTATTGATAACAGACAATGCATCTGTTGTATTATTGAAGAAGTCTTCCTAAAATAAATAAAAATGTCGGTGCGTACATGAATTGTCCAGTTACATAGATTTATTTTTATTTTTAGTGCTTAATACATTGTAAAATGTTTATGTTTTTTGGTTCTATACATATTGTTATTCTTGAGTAGGTAAGGATAGAAGAGATTAAATTATTGTTAACTTTACTAAATGTTAATTTTATCATCTAAATCAATGGAGTAAGAAATTAATCTCTTTATTTCGTAGGTTTAATGTTAGTTTGTATTTTTGGTATTTTTTATACCAGCCATCGTTGCAATCTCGTTCGAGAATCTCTAGAACTACAGTCTCGACTCTGATCCGCAACTTGGGCATAGTGTATAAAGCAATATTTTCAATAAAATCATTTATTAGTTAGTGCAATAGATATATAAATTCTATGTTGAAACGATTTCATATTTTATATTTACGAGATCTGACATTGAGATTAAATCTTTATAGAGTGAAAATATTTAGTTGAATCAAGTTTAACAGATTGCAATTAATGTCTTAGGTTTACAGTACACGTGTCCTCAGAATATAAATCATTTTAAAAACGCTGTCCGTCCATTATTACTTCATCGTGTTAGTACTTAATTTGTTGGTAAATTCAATAATCCGCAATACTAATTAAGTTTATCAATATAAATTCGGTTTATATAAAAATAAGAGATGCAGTCTGAGGCCAACGCCCATAACGTGTGAAAACTATACACATATTACGCATCGCGAAAAAATTCCAATTTCAAATTTGTTTAAAAATATTTCGATAGATGTTCTAAATTCAAATTTTATCTTTAGTGTCTATTAGTTTGAATTCAAATTATCAACAAATATATGCATTTACTAATTTGCGATGCCATAAAAAAGCAATAGAATAAGAATACAATTTGTCGTACAAAGTTAATTCACCATATGTTAAGTATATTAAATATACATATATATACAGCTGCTTAGGGCTTGCAAACGCAACGCGTTATAACTGTGCCATGCATGCCTAAATACGCAACAGATAACTTAAGTTAAGGGTTACTCAAATGTTGTATTTCAAAGGCCGAACAATTAAAAAAAATTGCTCGATAGATGTTTTACACGGTGAAATAGCAATATTTTGAGATCTCTGATTGATGAAGTCTTTGAGTATGAGGGCATTAGACGTGTAAAACCAACGTCTTATTAATTGTACTTATTGTTCAGGGCAATAAAAATCAAGTGCCTTAATGAACGTGTAAATAATAAATATATGTATATCAAAAAGTATTATAGATGGAAATGAATTCTTAAAATGTTTTTCCAAAAACAAATTATCTATATTGAATCTATTATAGAGATATTTTACGATAAAATTTGGTTAAGTGAGATTGTGCATATTACTTATGTGTTTACGTGTGTTTAAGATTTGGCATTAGTAAATATATTATTTAAAAATTTATGGAGATTTTATTATTTCTTTATAGTTACCTCTATTGTATAGCTATAGTAAAGATATACATACATATTAAATTTACAGAAATGATAACCAAGCATTAAATTAAAAAAAATATATATTGTGAGCTGTAGAAATTATTTATCTGGAACTACTGAACCGATTTTGGCAATTCATCCACCAGTAATGAGAAAGATATTATGTGGTTGACATAGACAAGAATTACATTATTAAATGGATATAATTTCCTAGTTAACTATAATAAAAGTGTACATATGGGAACATGGAATATCAAATATGAACCATGACCAGACCAGTTGGAGACCGTGATTTATATATTAATTAAGACTTCGGTTCATTAAAATTATAGACAAAAACAGGTAACAAAAAAGGAATTATTACGCCTTAGGGAGCGTTCAAGTATAACGTCACGCAAGTTTTGGAGATTATTGACCCCCCCATGTAACGCGCCGTAACGTTTTTCTGTACCCAAGTATAGTAAAACGTTTCGTGACCCAGTGACTAAAGGTAAAGTCTAATAGTGTAACCAAATTAACAAAAATAAAGTTACAAGTATCAATAGAAAACGATACAAATACTGAACAAAAAACTAAAATATTAAAAACAAAAAAAGGTTCATGATTCGCAATTAATGCTAGGTTTCAAATTACAATAAAAAAAGAATAAGAAAATACATATCATGTATTTCAAAGGCAACGATTGCTTTGAATTTTTTGCTATAATATGGGACAGAAGTATTAGTCATAAAGTGGCATTTGTTGTTCACGGAGAAAAGTTTTTTAGTCAGATAACAGTCAGGCTCATGCGTGATGCACTAGCGTAAAATATTTCGCGTTGCGCCATCTAGTAGAAACATAACCACATTACTATGACGTCCAAAGTAGTGTAATATTAAATAAAATAATAAAAACTTTATTTATGACATAAGGGTCGATATCTATCGAGGTATAATTACTAGACGTTAATTTAATCTTAAGCATGACCAAAATATTTATTTTAAGATATGTTCATTATTTTATCGAAAACTAACTAACCAATGTGCACACACACTAAGCTATGCATGCACTTTGTAAGGTAAAGAGAATTAGGTACAATTACTACAATTGTATAGATTATATTATATAATCTAGACCATAGTAGTAGTTACCTAGTTCTTATTGTATTGGTTGTATTACAATATTTGTAACTGCTTTACTTCAATACCCATAAACTGACAAAAATATTAATTTACCTACATGGTACAATTAAATAAATAAAAGACCTTTAATACAAACTAAATATTTATTTCTTAAAATGTTTGTGTTTGTTCAAACAAAATACAAAAGATTTCATTTCATCATCACCAGAATAGGTCAATTTTCCACATAATATTCGGTTGATTGACCTGCACCACCTGTAAATTAAGACATTTATTATAATTTCTTCAAATTTTGTTACACATTTAAAGGCAAGTGACACAAATATGTCAGTGTACATTTTTATCATACTTTGTAAAACTTTCTATTTCCTTAAAACATTGGTCTCACTCAAGCGATGGATAATTTAACCACTTCTTATTTTTAAAATATTATTTTTATTGTATGTAGCTGTTGTTTGTTTCATTTTGATGCCCTAACATCTTTTTTGCACTTGCACCTTTTCATGATAAATTTTAATCACTTTGACAGGACCCAGCCGCAAACGTATGCCCCCCTCAAGGTATATCACTTGGTACTCCTCTTATACAAACACAAGGACAATACTTTTTCTTCCAAACGAAAACGACGACCTTTTTGCATTTCGCCGTTTGCATCTGCGTGGCGATAAACAATTTGGCTTGAGATGTCATACCTTTAACTACTTTTTGAAAAGTAGTGTAGGCATCTAGTTTTTCGACTTTTGCAAGCCGCGCCTTAAATGAATGACCACTTTTTCGCAGTTTGTAGCTTTTATCCTCAAGTTAAAAATTTGTTTATGGTAAGTGCTATACCTATTTACTGTCAATTTGGACGGTGCCGTTCTTTTCGAAGCTGTAACAAAAAATTATAATGTGTATCTGTTGTATCAGAGCCCCAAAAAAATATTTTAGGCCTCACTGGCACTCTCCCAAACCACGTCACTGTTTCCCAACCTCCTTTCGCAAGTCGACGCCACAACTAGCTGGAAGGCGTATAGCCGGAATACTCTATGATTAACTTAACTCACAATTCCCCAATCGAACTCAACTGTTCCAACTCAATTATGAAGACTAAGATATGATATCATCAACCTTTTGAAGATATTCTCTTGCAAAAACCATGGACTAGCATTATAGCAGCATATTCTGAATGCCTTGTTAATGTTGATGATCTTTTCTTGTTGTGCTTAACATTCTGTTGAGTGGTTACTGCAAAAGTAGATCTTGAACCACAGGCAACTGAAATGATGACGGATATCTCAAGTAATTATTTTAATAAAAATAAAGTGTTATGTGTGTGTTTGCGACAACAGAACCTTATCTGCTAAGAGCAGTTGCAAAAGTACCATGGTACATAACCAACAACGAAGTTCACGAACACCTTAAAATGGGAACTATCAAAGGGGAAATCCGGAGACTGGCAGCTAAATACAAAGAGCGGTTAAGCTGTCACCCGTATGAACTTGCTCGCCAACTCACCATTAGACAGTATGTGAGTTAACTAAAAGCTCTAGACAGAAGATGAGTAGATGCCTCCAATGGGAAGTCACTCCACATGACAGCACCACAGAAAAAATCGCTCATAGCCTTAGGGCTTGGCATTGCAAATAACCGCAGAAAAACCAATGTGCATGTTTGTGCAATATAACCCTTCCTGCGCTCCAAGTATTAAAACCAAAACATATATAAAACTGCTTTTCTTTAACAAAACCTTAAGAGGATATGATTTGCTGGATACTTTTGAAAAACAGGTATTTTATGGAAATAGTGTTGTCGCACTGCCCTCTATAGCTAACCAAACACGTAGTGAAAGAGACAGCTGCACCTTGGCATGTTTTTACCTTCATAAAATGGACAAAATCGAGGTTTCATATTTGCTTATACAAGTCCTATCCTCCAATATATAGTTAGATTTTAAATTTTGGTTTGATTTTCAACAATATGTCCTATGCCTTCCCCATTCAGCCGCTACCAGCCACCTGTTTCCCAGGCATTAATTGAGAGGACACGCTTGTTTGAGATCTCTACATAACAACTTGTCTGCAAGTACAGTAGCAGTCAGTTGTTTTAAAAAAGCTATATTGTTATTACCTGATATGGATGACTGATTATTGATATCTTCAATGGTGCAGCTGGTGGTAGCTTTGTCCTGGTATACTTTCGAAAGAGTTATAATATGTTTAGAACAACCTGAAATTATTAAAATCCATTGACAATAGATGGAGAAATCTAAAACATACACGCTAAAAATATATAAACATAATGAAATACAGGCAAATTATGAATCTCTTTTTTTATAGACCCTTAAAAACTAAATTATTTAATTACCTGCATCTGTTAGGGTGTTTAGTTCCATTATCTGACTGACCATTTCACTAGGGTAAGGAATAGGATGTTTTCCATGAAAGCCTGAAAAATGTTAAACAATTTACCAATAAAATGTTTATAAGACATTGAGAGAGGAAGGTGCCATTCTCTCAACACAGAATGGTTTAATATTACCTATTGCTCATAATCTAGTCTTTGACCAGTGTGTACAAGACCGTAATGGCCTACAGAGCTGAAAGGTGGACACTTACAGTTGGACTGGTCCACATACTGAAGGTGACAATAGTTAACCTTTTCATGGAGGAGTAAGTATGACAAAAAATTTGGTAAAATATGCTAAAATTCAATTGTTATCTACAATATATTGGTTCCTCAACCATCCAAGGGTTAAAGTTTTAAGTAAATCAATTAATGTTTGATTTACTTAAAATCAAAAAGGGAGGAGGGGTGTAGTTATGACCCCCCACGCTTATCTGCCCATATGCTTACCAGAAGTCAGTGTGGATGGTAGTGCCAACTTCAACATGTCTTTGTATAAGAGGGAGTAATACTTCAGCTGACCAAATATTGTCTGGGCACACTTCCAATCTCAGATTCTCAGATTTGTCTTCTATCATACCAATGACCCAATGGCCCTCAATATGTCATCCTACAACAATTAAAGAATTAGTTAATAAGTTAAATAGATTTTGAAGATGTGATGATAACAGGGTTATTAGAGAGCTCCAGTTTTTAAATAACGCTCTAGGGATAAAACAGACTAGAAACACATCATGTAGTAAATATTAATTAAAAGTGCTATAAAAAAATTACCTCAATTGTATTTTCATTTCCCAAATTTTGATTCATCAATCTGGACTATCTTCCCTGGGCCACCAATCTTTCCTACAATTTGATTTTTATCCATTTAATATATAATTACTATAGTTTCCCTGCAATAATTATACCAATCATTTATAGTGGCTCGGCTTAAGCATTGTAGTCTATTTTCTTTATATGGGTATTCATTAATGATTGTGCTGTAGCTCCAATTTTGCAAATACGCATATAACAAATAGACAATAGACATGTACTAACTACTAATTATATTTTAATATTTTGAATTTTCGAAAAACGTTTCTTTATTATTTTTTTTTTTTTTTTTTTTTTTTTTTTTTTTTTTTTTTTTTGTTCCCTTTTTTTTTTTTTTCTTTTTTTCTTTTTTTTTGGGGGGGGGGGGGTGGGGGTTTTTTTCGTCCCTATTTGGGGCCCCCCCGCCGGGGGGGGGTTACAATAAAATAATAAACCCCCCAACCAACGGCGCGAACCGCCGGGGGCCCGGGGGGGGGGCCGGGGCGGGGTGGGGGGTCCCCCCCCCCCCCCCCAACCCCCAAAAAAAAAAAAAAAAAAAAAAAAAAAAAAGAAAAAAAAAAAAAAAAAAAAAAAACCCCCCCCAAAAAAAAAAAAAAAGAAGGGGGTTTTTTTTTTTTGTATCTCCCCCCCCGGAAAATATTTTTTTGGGGGGGGGGTTTTGGCCTTTGGTTTAAAAAAAAAAAGGGGGAAAAAAAAAAAGGGTTTTTTTAAGGGGACAAGAGATTTTTTACGCGATTTTTTAATTTAAAATGATGTTTCGATGTTTACATACATCGAATAGATCCAATGCTTTGAAGAATGAAGAGGTACGAATAATAATAATAATAATAGGTTACGGGAAATGCAGCCAGTGTGACCAGATTTCATTTGACGAATCTACTGCTCGTGGAGGTTAAAAACTACTGAATTCTACCGAAAGGAACGAGAAAATACAAAAAATCTATTATATTTTTTTGCTGTTGGTTTACAACGTAAAACATGAATTTTCTTGATTAAACGATAAAATAATAAAAGTAGTAAAGATTAATTAAAGAAGCGAAGTTTTTTTAATTTAATTCTTACTACAATTTTTTTTAAATTAATAATAATAAAATGAAACTTAAAGCTAAGATTTTTCGTCGTTATGTTGGATATTGTCATAAAGCTGTTTTGAGTCCATTAGCTTGATCATACTTTTGTCAGGATCAAATCTGCTACATCCTCCTTCCAACTGTCGTAGCCCCTCTTTTCCATGCATAATTGCAGCAACATTCTTGTTATTAAAACGATTTCTATCTTGACTTTTAATTCTATTAATATCGGAAAATATTCTTTCAACTTTGGCGTTAGACAGAGGTAGTATTGTCATTTGCTTCACAAACCGGGCCAAATTGCCATATTTTGGTTTGCTATTCGCATCGCAAATTTGGCTGACCTCACTCCAAAATTTATCCACCATAAAATTTTCAGAAGTTGAACTCGAAGTTGACAATAAATTAGACACGGAAACATCTAATTTTAATTCCCTATATTCGTTGTCAACAATTTGCATATTTTCTGTTGTAACTAAGTTAGGAAACCTTTGTAGTATTTTTTATTAGAGTTCGAAATTCACCATACACTGCCTTTTGGGGATCGATAAACGACAAATCCTGCAAGAAATTATCTTGTACAGGCAGTCTTTGGAGAAATTGTTTACTTAGCTCGATCAAAAATGCTTGACATCTGTTAAGAAACTCTTCAATTTTAGATTTCATTCGAACATCATCTTTTAATAATTCCAATGTTATGGCTACGTTTGTGCCCAGGTACATGTTTTGTATAGGAAGGAAATGCATACTTGAACTGGGATCTATTGACTGAAGCGAAGTAGTTTTAATATAATTTATCTTCATAAAACAACTCAAAATGGAACTCATCATGTTTTGTATATCTGTGTCAATTTTATGAATGAGCGTCTGATCACTTTGAAAAATAACGTTAAATTTTGTAGTTATGGGTAATATAAAATCTAAAAAGGAAAGATAAAGTTTTGTTTCATCGCTGTTAAGGTGATCAAATATAAATTGACAAGTAGCATTTGCATTCTTATTTCCTAAAAACTCATTTTGAAAAAAAGTTTTAATGCTGACCACTGCTCTATAATTCGGTGAATGCATTGATGTAGAGAAAGCCACCTGATATCATAGTGACGAAGCATATGGTGAGTTGGAGTGTCAGTAAAATTTTGAAATTCGACAAACTCTCTTTGACGTTGGCTACTGTGAGAGAAGTATGAATAAACATCTTTGACAAACAACTCTATAGAACGAGGTAATTTTTTGCATGCATAACTTACTGAAAGATTTGTTGAGTGGCAAATACATTTAAAAAAATACAGTTTGGGTTGACTTCCCTAATTTTAGATACCACGCTATTCCTTTCGCCAAACATAACATTCGTTGTATCAGCAGCGAACCCTATTAAATTTTCTATGTTAAGGTTTCTTTCAGATAAGGCACATGTTAAACTATCAAACAAATACTGCGCAGTTTCACCTTTTAAGTCCACCATACACAAAAATTTTGTTTGTGGAGATTGCAATTTTTCTGAGTAGTACTTTATTGCTGCTGCAAGTACCTTGGTAGTACTGACATCTGTGCTTTCGTCGATAATGAGCGAAAATACTGGGCTTCTCTCAGTTTCATTTTCCAGCCTTGGACGTAATTCTGCAAGCATTTTTTCTTCGAAGTTATTGCCTAAGACGTTGTAAGCAATTGCGGCAGATTTAGTTCTTCTACAGGAAAAACGTTTTGCGATTTCAGAGTCGTGAAATGCCCTTGAAATAACTTCGCTTACGTGATCCATTACGCGAAAAGGAATATTATGTTCCACTAATGCAGCTACAATGCTGATTTCTGCTTTTTTTACTTCTTCCGAAATAGTTGATGTTTTAAAAATCGTATCAATCTGTAAACAAAAAAGTTAAAAATAAGTATGCAGGACAAAAAAAAAAAGTCAAAAACTAAGCAATCTTAATATATATAAATCTCGTATCACAATGTTTGTCCTCAATGGACTCCTAAACTACCGAACCGATATCAATCAAATTTGCACACCGTGTGTAGTTTGATCCAAATTAAAAGGTAGTTTAAATCTCAAATTATAGTCGCAATATTATTTTATTGCAAAATATTTGTTTATTATTTGATACAATTCTAACAGATGGCGCTGTGTTATAAGTATCAACGTTTCACATAAGCTTTCATCTACCTTTAAGATAAGTTCTCCTACCCCCTAACAGATGGCGCTGTGTTAAAAGTATCAACGTTTCACATAAGCTACCTTTCACATACGTTCTCCTACCGTTTCCCTTGAATAGTTTACTACTATGTAATATAACAAAAACCTTAGCCACAGCAACGCTTGGCCGAGTCTGCTAGTTTTAATATATCATTTAAATAAATAAACATGCATAAACACACATAGTTGTATAATAATAATTGTTATGTAAATGTGTAGATAATAAACATACTTAAAACAGCGAAAGTTTGTTTTTGAATGGAAATCATAAGGTTTAGAACATAATACGGGTTCACGATGAAAGTATTAAATTTTTTTAACAAAAATAATTAACTAAGACTTACATTCCACATATCAATGTAAGTACCTTACGTACCTTAGAAATGCCGGAATATCCTTTCATGTTTTTTATATGCTTTGATGTAGCCATATGTTCCTTTAAAGATGCCACTCTACTTAGTACTTCACAGTTGCATGCTTTACAATGAGCACTCGTAGTGTTTACTCTAGATTTAGACAACCAACTTTTAAATGAGGGATCTTGCTCCCATTCATCGCGATATATTTGTGTATATTTACGTTTCATTATATACTCGATTATATAAATTCTCAGTAAAGGTATTCCCACTAATCACAATATGCTCACGAGTCACGGAACGAATGGTTTATAGTAACGAAAATAACGAAAATTCAATAGAACTTACCACCCAATCGATGAAAGGGGAATACCCCGCATTTATTCGATGTGCCAAAAAAAGTACCTACTAGAATAACTGATAAACGTGAATTCTACTAAAATATACCAAATAATTTTTACATACTAAATTCTGTTGCCAGTACCTCAAAATCTACCAAAAAAGTAGAAATCTACTAAATCTGGTCACACTGAATGCAGCCCCTCCACCCTTGCGTACC